CATACATGTATGTACACACCTGTATCTGGTTACCATTGAAAACAAGAGCGGTATATTTTGTTTTAAGTATAAGCAGTATTGTCATTACTACTTCAACTGCAGAAAAGGGTACTGTCCTAACCATTATACGACAAGAAACATGCTATGTTTGATGCTCATGGCACCGAATGAGAGATTTGCCGGTAAAGAATCACAGATGTAAAATGTAGACAGAGTTAATTTAAATATCACTCCTGGGCTATCCCAAAATTGGTGTTGACTTAGACCTACCCCATTACAAAGTAGTCTTCAAATCTTAATATGTAAACAATATTAATAATTTTAGGGAAATCCCCTTCGTGTATCCCCAATAGTAATATTTTGTAAATTTAACATCGAAATCTCGCATTGTAATTGTAATCGTGGAGACACAATTATAACGCAAGGAAATCGCGAGATTATTAGAGCTATATAAGTATCACGTATTGTTATACACGTTGTTAAACAGGGTTGCATAACAGTTCAATTAAATTTTTTGAACATAACATCTGAAGCTTTTTGTCTTGAGCTGACGGAATCCCCGACCATCCAGATGATGGCTTTGAATCATTAATCGGCTTCAGCCCACCTTTGGTTGTCCACCTATAATACCCCATATTTATAAGGTTAGTAGCCTAAGTCAACATACACCTTTAATTATTCATTCAATCTACCTGTACCATTTCATAGCCAAATTACATTCTTTGTATCTGCATTAAAGATCGGTTGGTCGCATTCGATCAAAGACATTCTTTGGAGTATTAAATGGGATATCCAAATCTTAAAAATTATAATGAAAGACGAACACCATGGTGTCAGTAAGGTCAATTAATCAAAATATGTGAATTGGATTAAGGGAAAATTAATATTATTGACTATTTGTAGTAATGTAATGAACTTCAGACCTTAAGGAATGTAACTGATCTTCAATTGATCTTCTTAACTAGGTCATTTCGATACAATATGGAATGATATTGAAAACAAATTATAATATAACAAACATGTCTCAATGTACTTATATCAATGATATGACTTCATTACGAACAAATCGGTGATCTTAAAGGGATTGTAAAGAGGTTTTCTTTAAAAAAAAATATGTGTATCGGGAACACTGAAAGCATCAATTTGCACCATTTCAATTTTCAATCAAACGTCTGTGGTTCCCGCAATTCCACTAAAACTGAGTATGACTTAGATGACGTCACTACTCGCAAAATATGCTTCAGCACACTAGGCCCTTTGCCTTAAGTGACGTCATATTTTATTTAGAAAACCTCTTTAATCAGGCTTAAGTCCTAGAAGGTTAAGGCTCACAAAGCATTGATTTGAAAAAAAAACCAGGTGATCGCCCAAAATTATACAGCAGTTCGCTTTCTTTGTGCTTGTTTGCGTTTTTAGACACACCGAACTACAACTAAGGTTCTAGCTTATTACAATTTCCACAAACAATTATGACTCGGTTTTACTAAGCTAAGGTCACTAACCATAAATCATTGAAACCATACAAGATCTCGTCAAAACACTTTAGCCTACCCATTTTTTTTCGAAATCCAATTAAAAGTATCTAAGACGTAGTTTGGCTAGGCTTATTAAAATAATCCATGGTTTTAAAAGAATTTTTAACAGTGTTATTACTTAAAATGATAAATGCATAGGTGTTAAAGTTGTCTTCACTGGTTATGCCCTCTTTTTCTTTTTTTCATATTTTGATATATTTGGTATTTTATTTTTGCTGCAATTTATAACCACTGAATTCTTAAATGTTGACAGTTGCTAAGCAAAAGCTAAAATATGACTAGGACTGAAACGATATTTCACATTTAAACAACAATTTAGCATTTTTTATGAACATTCCCGTATAGCCCACACATTGTGCAAACACAACGCAAATTTGTAAGAAGGAGAGGTGAATTCTCAAGTCAATTTGAGACTTTGATTTTCCAGAGATCTGGCAGTTGCCGGAAACTTCCAGGATTGTTTGACTTAAGTCACCTGCGAGGACTCCGAGGAAATGATTTGAAATGCCATTCGAATTAATCTCATCTTACAGCTATGCCTATTCATGAGGTCTTCATATTGTGCCAAATGAAATACAAAATAACAACATTTATAACCTAAGTTTTGAATCACTTGGCACCCATTGCTCTAAAACTTTTAATGGAACTCTTCTGTAGCAATTGTAAATTCTAATCATATCCGATCGAAAAGTCTACAAATTACTACCAGCATTCGCCTAATAACGTCTAAGTCCAAAGCAAAACTTCGTTTCATTTCTGATGTTGTTGGTGTTGCGGGCAACCGTTCTCTGAAAACTTTGATGTAATTCTCCCATAGGAATTTAGTACTCGCCAGCCCATCCTTCCCGGATCGGACTCCCATTCAGTTAGTACATGTTAGGTTTTCAGACTGGCTACGTTGGAATTTCGTATAAAGATATGCGAGTTTTGTCTTTCTGCTAAGAAAACATACCAAAATAACTATGGACAGCTTGCTTAAAGTGGTTAATTTACAAACACAAGATATGAAAGATTAAAACACTAGTGACAGATGGCATCTTGTCATATCAGAGAATGTCAATCAATAGTCTTATCATAATCTTAACTGATGATAACTTATGACATTTTGACGTCTAGTGATTTTATTAAAATCTTTCAGAGATAGTGTGGTGCTATTCACTTAATTCAACATCACCACAATGTAAGTTTTTTTACCTTAAAATTGCCATTTTAGATTATATCTTGGACTATTTATCCTGTTTTGGTGCTGGTGCACCTTCCAGATTTTCCTTGAAACTTGAATCGTGAATGGTTCTCGATAGACGTTAAGATAAATTTAGATGAAGGAGGGAAAAGAATCAACTAACTAGAAAATTCAATGCCTACTTAATGTACAAAACAAACATTGGCTTGTTATCAGAAGAACGGCGTATCGACTTGCGATAATGATACCAAACAAATACTGCTACCCATTGCTTTTCATAAGAGACAGCGAATAGTCATCGGCCTGTTCGTGTTTTGTACTTCATTGATGGCCACGCACTCTCCCATAAGGATACCGAGAAGAGTAATTGCATTATTGTCTGTAATAGGTATACCAAACAAACATTGCCAGATTTAAAGACGCTTCCTGCTGGGTCACACATCAGAGCCATGGACCTAAAGGTGTGTTCGAATAAAAATAAACAAGGATTGCAAGTTGCCCGACAAATATGGCCCTACCCTTTTCCGATATCCCATCCGAATATCACGTCAAGGAAACTGGGTAGGAGGTGTGTGTCCGACGGGTGAACAACCTATTGTATTGTGATAAAGATGCCCATCGGAGTATACACATTACCAAACATCTAAGCAGGCAAAGGTACGCCAAAAAGAGTTTCTCTAAGAATTCACATAAAGATTTATATTACAACTTGTCTTTATGATTTACATTATGTAATCTCGAAAGGAGAGGGTCGTAACTTGGTAAATGACGTATTGATATTACAAGTGTTTTTCCCCTTGGAACAACAATGGGTTTGTTGCGGTTTATCTCTTCAGTGCGAAAATCAACATGGAAAGTAAAGTAGGTTTTGCCACAGGGCAGATCGATCTAACGAACACGCCCTGATGGATGATTTGATCCACTGAGCAGTGACTAGTACATTTGCTATCAGGGATGATGCAGTTCCTGTTATTGTTTTTTTTTAATTTAATAACGCTTTTACTGTTATATATTATTTTTTAGTAGTTATCAACCAATCGCACCCTAAGGCAATTGAATATAGTCATCAGATTATTGCAAACGTGTTCAAATTTAAAAATATAAAGAAAATAATGTATTCTTTGTACAATAATTTTAAAAGTAGGGTGTGCACCAATTTCAAAATTACAGTAATTGTTAAAAATAAAACCTGTCTTCTAATGTCTCCGGTTATCCAATAATTGAAAGTTAATGACGACTCATCTTTTGTTGATACATTGCTATATAGAAAAGTTATAAAAATGGATTTTCTTGTATATTTGAAGGGATAATGAAATGTTCGTATATTTCTATAGTACTTCTAAAGACTATTTCATATATTTAAGACCCGAATCGAGCCCCGAAAAGTGCGAACCATGGCCTTTAATTATTAGTCAGATTTTCATTTTTTACCATAACATAAATTACTCCCACTCCCAAGGAAATCGTTACAAATCCTTCAGTTACTCGTCCAGTTAAATACGTATATAACAAAAAGAGTACATTAATAAAGCGAATTTCAGATTTTTTAAATTAATTTTAATGTCAGATTATATATATGACATGTTCATATGACATTTTATAATATGATATATTTTATTGCTTTGAAAACAAATTCCTCAAAACATATTTTTCAAATTAATGCGTTTTCACATCATACAGTGTGTATCATTTTACGTATCACTGTATGTATCATTGTAAGTGTGTATCATAGATAGTAATGTAAAATGTGGTGTTTACATTCGTCAACTTTTCAGTTTTAAGCTCTTGAAATTGAACTCTAAGATGAGTTCCGTGGCAAGTTGACATTCCTCATTTCCGGAATACCCACCTGACCTAAGATGCCATACTACGATTTGGGTTACGGATGTTGGTTATTTTGGAATTTTTTTAGTGAATGCTGAACCGAAAACCCGAAGACTGGATGTACGTACACATTCCAGCAATGTAAATTTCGTGACACTTTTCAAAGTGTTCATTCAGATTGAGTACTGCGATAGGTTTTGCTAGTGAAGCAGTTTATGCCCCATTTTCTGAATACCTCGAGCCACTCTGTGGTTGAGCTTGACATATCTAAAACAGAAATTATTATAAAATGACCCTATATTATATAAAACAGTGACACTCTTCAAAAGCTCGTGTTCAAAGACGGAATTGAAAGTAAGTACGGCGGAAGGCGTTGCCAGTGAAGCAGTTTATGGCATTCCTAAACACTTGGTGACACTCCCTGATTGGGTTTAACGGGTCAATAGAAGGGTCGCACTATGAACATTAAATATGCTACCGATGACCGTGTTGACAACAAGGTAAAGCATGAATACAAGAGGTCAAAGGTATAATTTTACTACGGTAAATTCTTGAAATATGATAATAATCACGAATCTTATCACCCAGGTCAGTATGCACCGACGCATATTGCCTGAGGGGAAAGGAAACATGATAACAAATACAGCTTGACAATGAATGAGTATAAGACAACACTATTGTTGTGTGGCAAATGGACACTGCCTTTATTGATTGATTGACATTAGTATCAAGGTCATCATCTGTATTACTGGAGGGTTTTATTAGTCAATGGTTTACTACAATAGATGTTGTGTATTTAAGAACATATCAAAACATTAGATCTCTAGTCTTTTTCAATTATATCAAATAAAACAGAAGGTGGAAAACTTCAGTCTTAGCACATTCATCAGTAAAACGAATATAAACGATTATTTGTTTAACAGAGTTGATAAACACACATAATCAGTTTTAAATTTGTTTTACAGAGGACTATTTTCAGTCATTTTTCTGTTATGTATTTTCTTCTGTTAAATCACGACTAGCACTGCTATTGTGTAGCTTATACTCATAATTTTTGTATAAAAACGCGAAAAAAGTACTACCAATGTGCGAAGACAGTATAGCTTTGTTAAGTTCCGTTGTCCTCTTCCTTTACATTTTCAAATTTCCACATCGAAATCGAATTCGAATGATAAGGTTTCACAACAGAATATCCAAAATTACAATGTCATGTATTGAACATAATGTCTTGATACCTTATGAAATAATATGTAGCCTACAGGACAAGAAACTACGAATTACGAAAGTTTACATAGAAGAAGAAGCCCACACAATAAAATTTTGCTCTAGGAAAAATTCCCATCAAGTATTCTGACAAAAACTTCCGTTCGATCAATTTCCTATATACATAAACATTTATAGGCAAGTTACGTAGTTGACAATTAAAACCAGTGTAAATATAATAAGTTGACGCTAATGAATTGATATGGCCATAACTTCTGACGGTTACATATGTTTAATTTCCCATTTTATGACAAGGTGTATAGGTGTGTTTCTAACTATTTCCACGCAAAGAAGCATAAGATATATGGATATACTATTTCTGAATTCATTTAAATAACGGCCATGGCTCGGGGATCGTTTTGTGTCTTGAATATATGTAAATAGTCTTCAGAAGTACCAGAACCGCACGAAAATCTGATAATCCCTAAATATACCTCAAGCTAGAAATTCCACTCTCTATTTCTATAATTATAGCTTTTCTATAGCAGAGTCCCAAGAAAGACGAGTCGTCATTTTAACTTTCAAACTCAGATAATTCTGGACACACAAGTCATGCTTTTGACGGCTCAAAATTCGCATTAAGCTGTGAATACTATTACTGATTAGCTTAGCTAAAATCGATTGGTGAACCCGTCATTTTAATATGAATTCACATGCCCATACAATCTGCTATATCAATAGGGCTGACAAAGAAACAAGCGTCAAGTCGTTCGGATGTTACAATAAACCATGACCAAGAGTGCTATAACAATTCGCGTTAAAGATCCCTCGAAAGTTGAAAATCGAAAAAGAATAAGCAAAAAAAATTCCCTCATTGCACACTGTATGGTGTTGCCCGTCTCCATTAGCTAACATGGTGCAGAAAAGTAGGATGTTAAACTCCATTTGATACATCAAGAGAAATACTGAATCGAATGAATAGAGTTTTACGGCCTACTTTTTTGCACCATAAAGACGGGCAAACGCCATGTAGTCTGCAATGAATGAATAAAACTAATTTCCTTGTATTTTATATGAATATTGAAAAATATGTAATGTATTCCACGAAAATCATCGTGTTAAGCCGCTATATATGAGTATTTATGGAGTAATGTATTTTAAAGATAAACTAACTCTTAGGATGTCCAAAAAATTGAAATCTTTTAAACTTGCCCAAAATGAGTCTTTGTCCATCAGTGGACTTGCCTGGTGTCAAAAATATATGACAGAATCCCATAAAGTATTTTTTTGATACACGCTTTGAAACGTATTTTGTCTTATATAGAGATTTTGTTCTTTAGTCATGGCACCTTGTAAGTGTTTAACACTTATTGAACAAGTTTGAGATTTCAAATTTTATGCCCATTCAAAGAGATAGTATTCCTTTAATGAATCAGGAAGTTTGCAGGTTTGACATGAAGATTGATTTCTTAGATTTAACCCCCAATCGTCAATAAATATTCGTAAATTCTATTGTCAGATATGCACTGTTTTCATTTAAATGCTAGCCTCGCCTTATAATACAATATAAAACAGCACAAGAAAAATGACATCCTTTGAACTGCGAAACAAAACAAAAATATTGATGTATGACATGTCAATCAGATTTGACTAATAATTCCATCCATATGTATACGAAAAAATATCCATTACAATGTGCAAATTTAGATTTACAAGGGGCATGCTGATTGATTAAGACACATTGTTGAGTTGGGTTTGTGACAACTGTGTATATTAGATATACTTTTTATATCCGTTACTTTAGTGAAGTAAAAAGGTGGGATATACTAAGGTATACGACTGTTATATTGGATAAACTATTAGAATATATTTTTTCTAACTTTTGGTATTCGGACATCATATATGTGTTATGTAGGCACCATCGCCTTGTGGAATGAATACATTGGCAAAGCGAAGATGCGGAAAATCCCCTTGAACATGTGATTGAAATTAGATTTTAAGTAAATTTATATAATTATCATGATATTCTACACTGAAATTGAGGTTATTATCGTCTAAATATTTGCTTTACCAGCTAATATATCTTATATTCAGCTGTACGTATTACTTATCAGAATTCATATCCGGCACCCAGTACGTTTACAATTCAAAAACAACAAAATGACCATGGAAGTTTTAGACTATCGTCAATGCAGGGAACGAATTTAAATCAAAAACTTTTTATAGTTTCTATTTGTAATTTGAGTTCACACACTTTTTATTTTATTTCAGTGGCCACATTTGGTATCACTTTACTCGTCGGGATCCCAAACCCGATTAGACGATGGTCAAATGGTTGATCCAATGGTAGCATATGATAATGTAATACGTTCAGATGAAATGCACGGAGCTTACAAATTTTACTATCAACCAGAAGATGGTGGTCGACCATTCCCTGCATCTGGCCACACTAGTAAGGGAAGTGAAACAGATACCAGAAGTACTGACGAAGAAAAGTTTAAAAGAAGGGCGACATGCAGAGTGTTTCTGTTTGTATTTTTATTGATGACCCTGCTTGCTGTAGTTGTAACATCCATCACATTAGCTATAGTTTGTGAGTATATTTATAATAATCTTTCTTACATCTTCACAATATCATATCAAGCTATTTCTAACTGTGTCTAATACCTTGACTGCAATAGCAACTGATTGGTATTCATCGAGCATTCAATAAACAGATAACCAAAGAATCCTACTATGATGCATCTGCCGAAATAATGATAATAAACTGGGATGCCATTCCGGAAACATCAAGGATACTATTTATATCTCATCAGAATCAATGATTCCTCATTATACAAAATGAACACTCTTTTATTTCAGTAACCCAGGGATCGGGATCAACACCACCAACAGGTATGTGCTCTTTGTTATCTTGTACAGCATCAACATGTTGCTTCCATGTACTTTACATGTATCCATAAACTTTGGATACCGATTTATGTAAGGGCAGTGAAAAGTAATCGCTGGCCCTGTTTAAAGCTATATACGACATGATATGTAACTGGCATAATCTTTGTCCGACACTATCTCATCCGATGTGATCTGTAACTTCAGTGGTCTATAGCCAACACCATTTTATCCGACATGATCTATAACTGGCATGGTCTGTATCCTACAGGATATGTATTTAGTACGGCCTTTATCCTACACGATCTGTATCCAACATGATCTGTAGCTGGCATTACCTGTATCCAACACTATCATATCCAACATGATCTGTAACTTAAATGATCTGTATCCAACATGATCTGTAACTAGCATTACCTGTACCCAACACTATCTTATCCAACATCTGTAACTTAAATAAGTTAAACCTTATTCCTTTATAAATGTTTGTCTTTTTCAGAATCATACCAAAATGGCTTCCGTTTACCAGACAGAAATTTCACCGATGATCTCAATGATAAAAATAGCGAGGCCTATGCCAACCTGGAAAAGGAGGTTTGTTCAAAGGTAGGTATCGCGAGGAAACATTTTTGAAAATAAGTTCTGTTACTCTTTATATTCGTCTCGAACGAAAAGATATTAAAGTGTTGAGGCGAAATTATTACAAGGACTCGATTTAATTTCCACTATTATAAGAAATTGTAAAGGGTGTCGATAGTAGAGCAAGGAATCTTACACTCCCGGATCACCTTATCTTCTACTTCAACCGACTTTGTACTATTGTTGATATCCAATGATAACTTGAACATATTAAACAGAGCAACGATTACACAGTGTTGGTCATTTTAGGTAAAGACAACACTTTCTGAAAGTACATCTCCCGTTAAAGATCAAAAGTTAGAATGCTTCATCGTCAGCGTAAAGTAAGTTTTATTCTTCATTTTTCTCAATGAGCAAGAAGCTCAATCAGGGACACCTTTGGACTTTATCTTCCTTCTGAAAGATTTCAGACAGTCAGAAAAGAGTAGGCCAATGCCGCTGTCCTGGTAAAATCTCAATTATTGCATAGTCCATGCCGTTGTCCATCTTCATTAGTCTAATCAGAAAAGTAAACTTTAAAACTATCAATCTTGAATTTGCTATGTAAGCGTTTTTATTGAAGATTTTCTAATGAATGTACGGAAAATTGGCAAAACTGGTTGTTTAAATCAGAATAAGTCGAATTGATGATAAGGGAGAGGTGTCCGCCTCATAAAATCAAATTTCAGTTGATTATATTTTTCCAAATTTTCATTCCACCATTAGCGTTATTTCCAATTCTTCCTTTCAAAATATACCCCGGTTTACACTTCCACTTTCATATTGTCTTTTTTATATTTTTTCCAGGCCTGGAAGTATTATTATAGTGTATGAATTGAAAATACCATCAGCCGTTGTTCAGCAAATAGCAGATTTTAGGATTAAAATAAATATATTCTTAGAGGAAAAAGTTTCAAATGGACAACTTGGAGATATCAAAGTGGATACAACGTATAAATGTAACGACAACCAAGGTGATGCAGAATGCAAACAAAAGGCTGTGACAACACAAACGCCTACTACACAAACAACATCTGCATCTGATGCCGTAACCCCTACTCCCTCTACTGCTTCAACGGCTTCCGATGCTGTAGCAACGCCAAGCAGTGGTGCGCCCTCAGCTTCCGACACCACTGCTTCTGTTCCTATTGAAGCGTCGACAACAGAACAAATGGCAATCCAATCAACAGAATCGCAAGACCTAGCATCTACAGTTACATCCTCATCCGATGTCGTAACTTCAACCTCAGCTACTATTTCAATGTCCCCCGATGCTGTAGTGACACCAAGCAGCGTCCAGACCACAGTTTCTGACACCTCTTCTGTACAAATTGAAGCTTCGTCAACTGAACAAATGGCAATTCAATCAACAGAATCGCAAGACATGACAACTGCACCATCTCCATCCGATGTCGTAACTTCAATTTCAGCTACTACTTCAACATCTCCAGAAGCTGTAGTTACATCAAGCAGCGTCCAGACCTCGGTTTCCCCTTCTTCTGTACAAATTGAAGCATCGTCAACTGAACAAATGGCAGTCCAATCAACAGAATCGCAAGACATGACAACTGCACCATCTCCATCCGATGTCGTAACTTCAATTTCAGCTACTACTTCAACATCTCCAGAAGCTGTAGTTACATCAAGCAGCGTCCAGACCTCGGTTTCCCCATCTTCTGTACAAATTGAAGCATCGTCAACTGAACAAATGGCAGTCCAATCAACAGAATCGCAAGACATAGCATCTACAGTTACATCTTCATCCGACGTCGTAACTTCATCCTCAGCTACTACTTCCGGGGCTCTGGTAACATCAAGCAGCGTCCAGACCTCAGCTTCCGACACCTCTTCTTCTTTACAAATTGAAGCATCGTCAACTGAACAAATGGCACTACAATCAACAGAATCACAAGAAATTACAACTATGGCTACATCATCTCCAATTTCAGCTACTACTTCAACGGCTCCAGTAACGTCAAACAGTGTCCAGACCTCAGCTTCCGACACCTCATTACAAATTGAAGCATCGTCAACTGAACAAATGGCAGTCCAATCAACAGAATCACAAGACATGGTGGTTACATCTTCATCCGCTATTGAAACTTCCCATTCAGTTACTAGCGCGGCTACAAATGGTTTGACACCAAGCAGTGTCCAGCCTTCAGTTTCTGAATCCTCCAATTCAGGAAATATCGAATCTTCAACGTTAAGTCAATCAAGCAGCGTCCAGTCGCCTGTTTCTGATACCTCATCAATGGAGCAACAACAATTAGCATCACCGTCTACTATGATGTCAATGCCAATGGAATCATCATCTTCATCTATGCAACCGGAGTCTTCATCAGCATCAATAGCAGAAGAGATGTCAATGATGTCTGCAACCACCACCATGCCAATGGCCACTTCTTTAACGTCATCAATGGTACAACAGCAGCAATCTTCATCATCAACCATGATGTCAATGTCAATGGAATCATCCTCTTCATCTATGCAACCGGAGTCTTCATCAGCATCAATAGCAGAAGAGATGTCAATGATGTCTGCAACCACTACCATGCCAATGGCCACTTCTTTAACGTCATCAATGGGACAACAGCAGCTATCTTCATCCTCAACCATGATGTCAATGGAATCATCTACATCAATGCCGTCGGTTCCTGTTGAATCTTCAACGCCCATGATATCTTCACCATCAGTAGTAGATCAGTCAATGATTTTTTCTACCGCTACTTCGCAAAAGGTCACTTCTGTGATGGCCTCAATGGCTGAACAATCATCGTCATCGCCAACCACATTGTCAATGTCAATGGAATCATCGTCTACATCATTACCGCTTATGTCCTCGTCAACTCCAATTGCAGCCGAATCTCCCTCAGTGACAATGATGCTATCTTCAACGCCCTCGGGAGTAGACCAGTCAATAATTTCTTCGACCGCTACCACGCATATGACCACTTCTTTGATGACATCAATTGATGAACAATCATCGTCACCAACCACATCTTCAGTTTCAATGGAATCATCATCTACAAAACCGCTTGTGTCCTCATCAACACTAATTGGAACCGAATCGGCCTCGGTGACAATGATGACATCAGTAGAACAGTCAACAACCACCATGCCAATGGTCACCTCTGAAATGTCATCAATGGAACAGCAACAGTTATCGTCATCATCAGACATGACTTCAAGGCCAATAGTATCATCGTCTGGAAGTTTTGTCGAATCTCCTTCAATGCCAACAATTGAATCTTCAACGTCATCAGCAGGAGAACTGCTCATGGTGTCTTCAACAACTACAATACCAATGAGCACATCGATGAATGATCAGTCGTCGTCATCATTAATGTCTTCAATGACAATGGATTCATCATCTGCTTCATTACCATCAATGTCATCATCGATTTCAGTCGAATCTTCTCTGACGATCATGACATCTGCAACGACATCAACAGTAGAACAGCCGATGTCGTCTAATACTGAGTCAGTAACTACATCTGTGACGCCATCAATGGATCAGTTAGTATCGACCACATCTTCAGTGTCAATGGAATCTTCTGCTTCAATACCGTCAGTGTCCTCATCAACTCCAATCGAATTGTCCTTGTCGACAGTGTCATCATCATCCCCATCAGTAGTAGAACAGCCTATGACGTCAAATACTGAGTCAGTAACCACATATTCTATGATGCCTTCAATGTCAACGGTGTCAACTCTTGATGTACAACCGACGATGACATCTTCTGTCATGTCAATAAGTCCGACATCAACAAGTGTAGAACAATTGTCCACAAGTATTGAGACATCAACAACGGTGGAAATGTTAGCTTCACAATCCGTCAGTGCTACATCAGACTCTGTATCCGAAACCAAATCTTTAGACCCATCGAGTGCATCTATCGTGGTTTCTTCTGCACAAGAAACAAGCAGTATGACTGCTGAAGCCATATCATCAACAGACCAAGCAAGTCTTACAACAACATCCCCTATGGACCAAACTATTTCACCCACATTTACCATATCGGATGTCACCAGTACAGTCTGAAACTGTTAATAGGTGTTTGATTCTAGACTTGTTATGTCTTTGGCAATTATGCAAGACAGAGCCCGTGCTATAGACACTGCATCTTACGTTATTTCGGATATAGTCTTTTTGTCTCACCCCTGCGTTGATATACATCAAAGAGTACCAGTAACATATGGAGGATACTCATAATTAACAGAAGGACTATCTATGGATAACCACCTATTAAAAATTATTAAAGGGGGTGTGTGTGTGTCAGCTGTATTAAAAGAGGAATGTGACCAAATCTTTTCTCCCAGTGTTCAATCATTTATTTGTTTTTGTCAATTTTGTTTCGGAAGTAAAAGGAAGGTGTACTACTTTTCTCATTAATTTATTTGTTAAATTATTTTCGAACAAAATCCGAATGTCCAGATTAATCGTATATCTAACTCTTCAATAGGTTATTAATGAATCGCTCATTTTGTGAGTATCGTGATTTTCGTTGGCTGGTCCAAACGAATGATATGTTGTATATAATAAGACAGTAATAATGTTAAATGCAATTATATTTGTTATTAATTTGATTTTTTATATAATATATGTATCTAATACTCACATTTTTATCATTTTTACATAAAATCATTTTTACATAAAATCATTTTTATACACCTGTGTGTCATTTATTATCTGCTATTGTGTTATAGGGGGTAAGTAGGGTAATGCCCCCCTCCCCCTCAGAAAAATTGGATTCCCCCTGAAAAATTCTAACAACCGATCAATTCCAGTACTGCAACTAAACACCTTACACCATTGCCCCGCTGAATATATGACTTGCCTGTTTCACGATCATACAGTGGAAGGGTTTCGTGGATCAACTGAAATAATTCTTTTTTTTTTATTTTTGCCGCAACAGAACCTTTACTCTTTACTCACGTGACAGAGCACCCAAATAACACAGATTATATGCCTTTCTCATCAAGTTAAGAACTAGGGACTGGATGAATGAGCATGCCATTTGACGTATTTGCTTATTATGCCTTTCAGTCATATTGGTTGAGACAGAAACCGGAAGTAGTTACTTACAGCATATAGTTTTTACATTATAACAGACCGGTTTGGAAATGCGAACGATCATAGCTCATAGCGATGATAACATATGGGTTGCGCCCCTTGACGAGAAATGTTTAAGACAATTTCTATTTCCAGTCGACACTAATTAAAAATTAGACCAAATTTGAGGTCCGTTTAATTTCTAGATAGGCCTCAAAATATATTTCAATTGTGTACCAACTACAATACATACAAAATGATAGTTAAGGGGAAGAAACTCTTTCTGAAATAAGATTCCACTAAACTAAATTATCCCATTCAAATAAAAAAAAACTTTTATCAATTCAAACAATGTACAAATGTAACAATTTCTAAAAATAACTAAAAATGATCTCCCCGCTCCCCCCTCCCCGCCAAAAAAAAGCTCATGTGACAATTGCATAGCACAATTTCCAAACATCATGATTTAACGAACGTGGCGTGAATTTACTTGCACAGTTATCACTGTCTCTGAAACGCTCTTTCCTGACGGGAATTTAATACCCGAAACACAAGCATGTAGGCAGCAGAAGATGGACTCGTTCGTGTTCCGGTTGAATATTAATGAATGCTCATATCACTGTAACAATCAAACCATCCGCGGTCACCATGAAGCGGACCATCTATAAAAACTATTTGATTCGCCAAGTGTCATGCACCTTCTTATCTACATTATAATATATTATGGTACAAATGTTTAATTCCATCAAAAAATATAATCATCATGAAATCTCAATTCACAATACCAGACTAATGATGGCCTAGAAAATGTACACGTAATATTTACAAGGAACTAACTTGGCTTGTGAACATAAATTATTTAAAGGGGCATTCTGGGTTTTTTTTGCAGGTCGAAAAAATTTTTTGCTCAAATTTGGAAAACTATACACCAAAATCTAGAGAAATGTGTCCCTTAAGGTTACAGAAAGTTTTGATTTAAATTTACGTAAACTTTTTAAATTCATTATGGTTTTTGGTACAAAACTACTGTACAGATTTGAGTAAAATAAACGCCAAATATAGAGTTGTTATGTTAATCAACAATCGACTCTGTCTTTAATTAACCCCTTTAAAAGTAGATAATATAAATATGTTAATAAAACAGGTATAATTTACAACATTTTTGATAATGAATATTTTGTATACTGCCCCTTAAATAGAATATAAATACTGTTAAATACAGTGTAGAAGTAAATATCATGATAGTTATTTGGATTGGTCTACAGACTCCATCTGCTCATAATATCAATTTTAAATATTATCAGGTCGATTAACCTAACGGTTCATGGGTGATATCTCATTTATTAAAAACCACTCAATTCCTTTGGTCTAGTGAGCATCATTTTTTATGAATTTTGACGAATCTTTCATAACGTATTAAAGACAAGGTCTTGATGTTTTTACCTCATAATTATAGATATATTAGACATCGGTTCGCTAAATTACAGCTTCATAGATTAAAATAACTCTAGAATGCCAATAAAATTCTTGTCAAAAAATTTGTAGAAATCGTTCAATGTCGAACCAGCAATATCCGAGATGCTACCTTAAAGTAACAATCATGACCTTTAGGCGTTTTTATTTAAGCAAATCGTATCGCACAGATCAAAGTGTGCATTTATATATACGAAGCGACTACAACGATCTGCTTACAATACACATTTATTTTAGCAATTTGCCAAAGCACTTATCCAAATCGACCAAATCTTAGCTCACAGTGAAATTATTGTGAAGCAAGTAAACATGCAACTCGGTTATGCGGATGCTCATTTGATTTGTACCATGTGCTGATAATCGACCTTCAAAGCGAGTTGATACGATTGGCTTCAATAAAAACGCCATTAATATGTTTCTGTCATCAGCAGTTCAAACCATAGCCAATAGAAAGAATCATGAAGAAACAACACGTTTGGTTTTCTTTCAAACATAATCGTAAAAAAATGACCAAATAATAGTCATGTCGTCGCTTATAGGATACTAAAATCATTAAATTAATAAAAAGGTGCTCAGAATTTAACCACGGTTTGCAATTGTATTCAAGAAGTTTATCGTTCTGAAATTGACAGAAGGCAGAAATTATACGAAACATTTTGTGTTTGTCATGAAAATAAATGAATTTGGTGATAAAAGAAAATCACAAATGTAAAAATTATTTACATTTTCATGTTGTATTTTGACAGGGTTGTTATTAAGTTTCAAACATGTACAGCGAGTTGTGAGTTTGGCCGCCATATTATTCGACGTTTTGTTTTTGTTAAGTTCACTATATGAAGGTTGAGGTGAGTATAAAAAATTCCAAATGCTATAAATGGAAATAAAGTGACTTTCAATTATCCATTTTCCAGAACCTTTTGTTTGCTTGTGCATGTACGAAATGCTAAAATCAGTTGCGGCGTCAGTGGGGATACAAAACAATGGGAGGGGGGGAGGGGAGATGGTTAACACCTGAACTGTAAACCCATCGTATTCTTAACAAATTTAAAAATATCATTTTTATAAGTTTTTGCACCAAAGTATGTGTCAGAATGCACCAAATCAATTCAATAAGTCGAAATTTTCTTGGAAGAACCCTCTCAGACGCTCCATGAGACATTTGCGATTTTTTGTCCTCACCAGAGTTGCTACATTTTGAATTGAGCCTCGACAATTGTCCCTCCGTTGAGTCAGTTTGCCCCTAATTGTACTCCCAGTATCGGGAGGCTGGCGCCGTGACTGGCTAACATCCTGAAATGAAATCAACCAATTGAAACACTGCGATTTGAATCATTCCCAACCCATTGTTATCGTTTCAATTTAAATAGTCTACTGAAGGTACTAAAATAAATCAATCCAAACGAGAATCATTATATTATATTCAGAACTAGGCCTTCCTAGATAAAGGATCATTTCACAATAAATATAGAACTTATACAGGCTCTCATTGTAGCAGTACACGACTAGATGATATGACAGAAAATATTAATATCGTGGATGGGGTCACCATCATAGGTTACTTTATTGGAATCTTAATTCTTGGAATATGGGTAGGTTATTTAAAGTCATTTATATGTTAAATTAATTTTATAATCATTAATTCAATAATTGTAAAAATTTAAAATTTAAATATATAAAAACTGTGCAATAATAAAATATGCTCACTGTTAAAATAGTGGTCAATTGTAGAGCGATATAGAAATATTTAAGAGATTGTAAAGAGGTTTTCTAACAATTTTAGAATTTGCGCAATTCCAATATTCAGTCAGACGTCTGTGGTTCCTGCAATTCTACTGAAACTAGGTGTTTGATGACGTCACTAATGCTAAATATGTTTCATCACATTGCCGTTTTCAGTGTTCTTGATACACATAAAAATTTTAGAAAACGTTTATACAATCCCTTAAATCTCTTTTAATATTTCGAATGATCGATATATGATTTTTGTCTTCGTTTTTACAGTTTTTTACATGTTTATTTAATTTTGTATTAAATAGTTTAAATGCAGAGACATCGTAATTTGAAATCGACACAGTGGCCACAAATTTCTATTTCAGTCGTCATGTCGTTCGAAACGTACGAGTACTGCTGGATATTTTCTGGCGGGACAAGATCAACACTGGTTCATTGTAAGTAACAAAGGGTTATTGGGTTGTATGTATAACAGTAACCACTAAATATTTCAGTGAGCATATGAACAGTGGAGCCAGCCTTCCGAGACTGGGGTGACAAATAGGGGGCAGACTGACTCAATGAGGGGGGACACAACTGTCCAGGCTGAATTCAAAACCCGGCAACTCTGGGGAGCACCAAAGTCACAAGTCTCCCATTAAGCGTCAATTGTGTTCTCCGAAGAAAATTCTCGAAAAATTGAATTGATAAGGAGCAAAAACGTATAAAATTCATATTTATATTTTTTTTGTAATAAAATGGAAATAAAGTGCTTAGGAATTATTGAATTCTATATGAATAATTTACATAATGTGTGCAAATATTGACCAATGCACATACCAATTAATGTTTTTCTGTGCAAGCTTGAATGATATGTAGTGTGATTCTTGATATTTTTTCGAGTAGTCTGTACCACTCTCTTTCATTCTACCATCAGAATCTTGACAATCAACACTTATGGCATTGGACACTTTTATCTTTTATCAGATTGGTTGCTCACTATTTGCTAGTAATATTGGTGCTCCTATGTTTATTGGTCTAGCGGGAGCTGCAGCGGTTAACGGTTATTCGGTTACTATATTCGAATGGCATGTAAGAATTTAATATATACAGAAATGTTTGATTAATATATTAATGTTATAACGAAAATGCCATAATAAATACTAAATAAATGAAAGTGTAAGGTTTAAAATACTGGTCAAAATTGTCATACCTACATAGTTTCTTCTCAATTCTGCATAAGTTTAACTTGAATTATAGATAGATATAGTACTTATAGATATTGATCAGGTTTGACATTACTGCACAACCTTTCTAGCAAAACATTTTCAAGGAAATCTAAATGTTTATCAATTTTATTTGTCACTTGTAGGCTGTGTTTTTATTAATAGCTCTAGGTTGGTTGTTTGTACCGGTTTATATCTCCTCTGGGGTAAGTGCATTGTCTGTTCAACACGTCCTGAATTCATACATATTTGTCCTATTTTCCTTCAGCAGGTGAACTCTTGGCTTTTAGGGGGCAAGATAATAAATATTCATGATGTCACATGGTTTTCAAGCCGGTCAATTAACATACTTGCATTGTTATGTTTGTTCAGTAAATATGAAAACTCAGTGATAAAAAGGAAAATAGGCAACGCTTCTTGTTTTAATTTGTTAAGATTCACCACCTCAAATGAAGCTAAGTCAGTTTAGATGGATGCACTAAGAACATCGGTTTTCAATTCAATATAGAATCTGAATTATATTTTTAAAGACATATACCATGCCAGAATATTTAAAGCTAAGATTTGGGGGAACAAGACTACAACTGTTAATGTCCTCGCTAGCCTTACTAACATACATTGTGGTTAAAATATCGGTAAGCAAATCTTATATCTTAGGGGCGTACAACATATAAATCCAAAATTGCTTCCTACATGTGTGATCCTTAATGGTGGTTGAAGACGAGCAACGTCATACTTTCTGGACAAGAACAAATTTGCAAGAAAACAAAGAAACGTTTATGTGTGTGTTCTGTTTTAATTTCCTGTAATTGTCTATGTACAGCTAATGGCCTCAGTCATTTTTCACACTCGAACCATGAAAGGATTTATCTGAATATGATACGAAATTGTTTGGTATAACCCGTTGTGTGCACTACCTACAACAAATAAGCTATTTCACTAATGGATGTCTGTGATGTTTTCCAGGCCGAGATCTATGCTGGAGCGTTGTTTCTGAATCTTCTACTGGGATGGAATCTGTATTTGTGTATAATCACAATTTTGATCGTAACGGCATTTTACACCATAACAGGTATATATGTTGCTACGTAATGAAGAACCGTTGTTCAGACGATAAATTTTCTTGTATAGACCTAGCTCTTGCCTTGTGGAATATTAAGATTACCACCTACCAAAAAGACACTCATATACCAATTACAAAATCATACGATATTCAAATTGTTTGAAAGAGTACAGCTTTCGGACTGAAACAATCTTTAACTGGTCGACAACACCAGTTTGATTTATTTGCAACACATTCTCTCGATGCTATATTAAACGTAACAATATAAAGACTGAGTCTAGTCAGTTTTTATCAAACGGTTGCTAGATCCCCTGTCTTCTCGTCGGTACCGTCATGGCTCTTAGTCTTCTGAGGTCTTCCGAGCATGCCAATCATTTGATATACCAGTGCTTTTTGTCCGCAGGTGGTCTAACTGCTGTGCTCTATACAGATACATTACAAACGGTCATAGTTTTAGTTGGTGCTACTGTACTGATGGTTATAGGTAAGTTCTCAACAACAAAACAACTTCTGAACAAAATGATCAACAAGGCAACTGACTGCATTCGGACATCAGTGGCATCTGTTCCCACAAGAAGAACAACCTGTGATTAATCCAATATTTGCTGGAATCAAACTTAAAATAATGTGCAGTACTTTGAGGTAACAACGAACCACATTTTGGCGACTGTCCCATAAAATTATGCACAATCTACCCTTATTGTCAGAATCACTGAGCACTGATCAATCTATCCCAATAATGACCAGAAACAAATGTCAAATACAGTCCTTTGCGTTTCTGAAAACCAACTGAATATTGCAACAAAGTCTTGAATACTGGATGAAATTAAGTGCAACATTTGATGATTTCCAGGTTTGGTTAATGTTGGTGGTATGGAAGGGCTAGAGAAGGGTTATATGGGCGCAGTCGCTAATTATACACTCAATAATGTATCTTGTGGTTTGCCTAGAAATGATTCCTTCCATATCTTTAGAAATATAGAGAATGGTGATCTCCCATGGCCTGGGGCAGTTTTTGGATTGACTATATTTGGACTGTCTGTTTGGTGTTCGGATCAGGTAATGTAAAGCGTATATATAGAAGAAGCCAGGGCGGAACTAGCCTCTGATTAGCTCAATTATTTTTTAAATTATGGAGTGATGACTCACGTTATACAGTTATAACTCATTCTGATGCCACCCTACAAACTAGCCATGCATGCTGTACAAATTTATGGGCACATGAACACGTCGGTTAACATTACATCCGTAACGTTGAATGAGGTCATCCTCTATAAAACACGTGAAGTGGCCACCTTTAGTGATCAAGTATTTTGTCTCTTACAGCTAATGGTACAGCGCTGTCTTTCGGCTAAAAATGTTAGCCATGCAAAAGGAGGAACATTACTAGCTGCGCTATTGAAGATCACCCCGTTCTTCTTATGGATAATACCTGGTATGATCAGCCGAGTACTTTATCCTGGTAAGCTCATGATCAAAAGATTTTGCTCGAAAAGGGCCTCAAGCATTAAATAGTAGATGTAAAAGCTTGTGTTTGTTTCTAGTTTGGAACCTAGGTTGAAGTATTCGACAAATTGCATAACTTATTCCACTAGTGCTATACATGAAAATGAGATAGTCAACGGCTATTCTGATATTTTCAATTTCTTTATCGGATTTGGTTAACTCTATTTGAAAATTTGACCACGAAAAAAAGTTACTCAGTAAATTTGATCTCTATATTTTTCTAACCAGATGAAGTAGCTTGTGCCTCACCAGAGAAATGCTATGATATTTGTGGTAATAAAGCTGGTTGTAGCAACATAGCATATCCATTAATGGTCTTGAGACTCTTACCACAAGGTAAAAACTATTTTCAACTTAGCAGCACCTTTAACAGTCAGATAAACAAAACAGAATGGTGTTATTGAGACCAGAAAAACTCAGACCATCCGCGGAACACGGGGTTCTTTAATTGCTCTACGTTGCGTCGAAATATTTTACTAGCTTGATTAAAACTGGAGTAATCAGCTTATGACTGTAAAAACAGCAGATGTCCGTCTCATTCCAGTCGACCGAAATGTTTTTTGGTACAGGGTTATCCGGGAAATAGAGTTGTCTTTAGGCTTGGTCACCAGGGTCCCTCAAGAATTTTCTTTCTAACGGAGTATTTTCAGTTCAAGTAATATTTTCAGGTCTCCGTGGACTCATGATAGCTGGCATGTTAGCAGCTTTAATGAGTACCTTAACATCCATCTTCAACAGTGCCAGTAGTATGATCACTATAGATCTATGGAAGAGGGTGCGTCCACAAGCTTCCCAGAATGAAATGATGGTTGTTGGACGCCTGGCAGTTGGTGTATGTGTTATTCTCAGCATTCTATGGATACCTATACTGCAGACTACTCAGGGAGGACAGTTGTGGTTATACCTTCAAGGCGTCATGTCTTGTGTCGCTCCACCTTGGACGGTTTTATTTCTTATGGCTATTTTCTGGAGGAGAACTACAGAACAGGTTTGGTTATTGGATTCTCATTTCACAAAACATTTGATCGCCAAAAAATAGGTGTATCAAATATACATTACCTATTGTCTTCCTTGAAACAGAAAAAAACTACCAATGTAATAAGAACGACTTAAGGTTCCATATCGAATACACGAGCTCAATAATTTAGGGAAGTAAATGGGCCGTGGGAAATTTATGGTTTCATTCTCTCAAATGACGTACAGAGCTATCGCATGTTCTACCTGGTGTTACTATTAACCGTATTTCGAAATAAAAAAGGACTACATTTTTTATGCAACCATGAGTTCAAAACATTTCAGTGATGAGATCAGAGCAATCGAGCGCGCCAATAACTCGTATTCTTAATTCTTGGTACCAAATTGTGCACAAGACACCATAGAGAAACAAGCAGAATATCCTCCCAAAGTAGACCACACTTTTACAGGTAAATAAAATAAAAATTTAATGTTAAAGTGGATGTCGTGAAGTCCTTTTACGGATCCTTAGCATCAAGTAACTAACTTTAACAAAATAAGCCTTATTGTAATCATAACTGTATGGAATATAACCAATCATAGGTGCATTTGCAATAATGCAAATAATAATAAGTTCTGGACAATCGTCATTTGGTGAAATTTTGCTACTCATTATAAGAGACAAATCTGGCGTTGAATTACATGTAGTTGGAAAACTAGCAAACCGTGTCTACGATACACGTTGTTAAAATAATCCTTTAGCGATATTTAAGGGTAGAGATCACATAAAATTGTGTATCGTTATTAAATGTGGTTAAAATGTTATATGTGAATTTTTCAAAGCAAGGAATCTGATGCACAACATAACTAACTTGATATTATTTCGTAGTTGAAGAATTATGTCCATTTCTTTTCAGCAACCAAGCACTGGATAAAACAAGTAAAATTTTGGATTTGTGGAATAAACGAAGGGGAAATAACCAAGTTATCAGAAGACCAAAGTATAACACACAGAGTCAAAATAAGTAATATATCAGAAACAGCTTTCAGTAAAAACCTTGTGAACTTTTTAGCTGTAACCATTTCACTATTTACTGCATTTCTCTTCGGTTATTTCTTTTAAATAAAAGCTTTTCTGTTATTTTTTTAATTTTTGTATTTGATGCGTTTTTATCAAATATCGATACTGATAAGCGCCTTCAAAGCTATATGTACGTCCACTCAACCATAAAAATCGAGATATTTTATCAATGTTATACATTGTCTACCGCTTTCGAAGGCAAAATTTCATCTATCCTGACTAAGTCAAGGGCAGCAACTCAAAATTCATACATAAACATTACAGGTTTTGTCAATATCCTATAACGAGAGGTCGCCGAAAAGGTTACACCACATAGCACATAATTTGACGTATTTTTGCATAAATCAAGGGCAGTAACTCAAAACAAACATTTCCTCAATGTACATAATGATACAAAGTTTCGTCAAAATCTGTTACGCAGTCAGTTATTGGGGTTGTGCCAATTTTTCCATTGTATTGATTCAAACATACAGACTAGGGTATAAACTAAATAGTACGTGTATTTCACGACAGTACTGAGTTACATTGATATATTTAGATAGTATTACGCCAATCTATTCCTAATACACTTCAAAACAATGTTCAAAGAAATAAACTCACCCCTATACTTGGGGAACATCATTGCGTTGCTGGATTACACTTATAGACACTTTTCACTAATTGTAAAGTCACTATTTCAGACACAAAAGTCAAAGGTTTTCACACTTGTTAAAATCATGCTTGTTTACTATTAGGTTATAGAGATTCCCCCTTCGTATGACGTAATTTCCTGCTAGGTAATGTATTACCCGTTTTGGGGCCATACCATTTTGTTACAGGGGATATTGTATTCCTTCAGCTATATATTGTATTGTAGCGATAAACGCGTGCAATCCAATCACCCCTCTTCAACAATTTTGTCGGATATTACGCTATCTAATTGATCCCCCTTAAGCGAATTGTTTATATTAGTGTATTTCAGCAACGCATTGAGAACTCTCTTATAATCCAATGGGTTACGCAATAAACAATAGAGAAATTTCAATAGGACAATTGCAACTTTATTCTTTTTCTTTGGTGAACAGCCTTCAGATTTTTCCAGCCCATAGACCTCAATTCTCTAGTACATCCCCCCCCCCCCCCGATTTCGATATCCTGAGGGATATTCCGTTAAAATGTCGTTTGAGGTGAACAGACAGTCTCTTGTAAACAAAGTGCTTTCAATCTTGTGCTATATCTAAATATGACGTCCTCAATGGTACATTGCTTCTTATATTTCTGCTTGGCAGTGTTTCATGGTTTATATGTTTCCAGTAGTGTTAATCGAAGCGAATTGCCTTTTGTCAATGGTGCAAGATGTTTACATTATGAAGAAATCATGCGAATGAAAAGAAAATCTTTCTACATCATCCAACCATGTTATAGTTTATTTATTAAAATATTGCCACTGAATATATTATTTATCACAATTCATTTTATTTTCAATTAACAAACAAATTAATCAACAAAGTTTAGGAATTGGGAATTGAAACATATAAGAGTCGTAACATTTTTGCATTATGGCAATTTAAAACTGACGCTTTGAGGTCTTATAGGACTTATCACGAAGAAAGAACCATGAGATATAACAGATGAGGAAATAAACAGCAAAATAACAATCCTTGAGCAATTTGCAAGCGATACTTCCAAAATCAAGGACGCATTCCTATTGCACATCATTGTTGCTTTCAAAGTCAATAGAAGAAACCTTTTCAACAGCTATATTACAGAGATTCGAGACATTCAACATAATATAACGAAATATACACATCTGTGGCAAACGGTATCTAAATATCTTAACAACAAAAGGGAAAGTAAATTCAGATGAATACATCTAAATATTTTTCAGATATACATCCAAATATTTTTTAGATATACTTGTTCATTGTTCGTCGAATATTTGTCTATATTATATAATTATATCAAATAATATTCAGATGAATATATCAAAATTGAATTCAGATATACATCAAAATAATATTCAGATAAATAGATCAAAATAATATTTAGATTACTACATAAATCAATATTCAGATAAACATCCAACTTATATTCAGATATACATAGAAATAATATTCAGATATACATAGAAATAATATTCAGATAAATGCATCTAAATAACATTCAGATATATATATCAACTCATAATAATATTCAGAAATAACAAATAAGATTTGAAATAACCACTTTGTGAGTCTAGTTATTCGAAATTTGATCAAAATGTTGCACAAAGAAAGTTGATGCCGCCCTTTAAGATACATTGTCAAGAAAATAGGATAGATAATATTCTAACTGCATTGTGTTTTTATTCTGCACTTCGTTTGATAAGTCCCATACCTAGTGAATCTACAGGTCGTTTATTCAAAGCATCATTACGTTTAATTAAACCCATACCAAGCGCATCAATGGGTCGCTTGTGGAATAGACGGTTCTTATTAGGTTGGAAACGTTTCATTAAGCCCATTCCTAAAGGATCAACCGGTCTCTTCATGACATTGTCACCACCATCTCTCTTGATTAAACCCATACCTAAAAGTAGAAATAATACGTTATGCTGTTAAAGCAGCTGATACCAAGAGGCATTCAACTGAGAAAATAATACCTCATACACCATTTCAGCTTCATTTAGCCGGAGGAAGGAAGGAACGAACATCATAAGGTGCTAAAAGAGAGGGTATGGACGAAGATCGTTGCGGTGTACGATGCAGAATAACCGCACAATAGAAAAGAGAATCTTGTTCGGACCAGTACTATGTTACAGCCGTAACAGTAATCCAGCTCCGTACTTGTCTAATCGCATCTTTAGTCCGCCATCCTGAACGCATTCTTTGCTCCATACCGAAAGAACGCAACTATGGTCAATGTAAAGAGTCTTCAAGTCCTTATCAATAAAACATTTCTAATCTAGAATGCGGGGGTTGGCAATTTAAACCTGGGGAGCAAGGGTTAGCAAGTTCATCCACTATGAAATTATTGTCTTGTTAATGTTCTTGATATTTGTTGTCGTAATCCTGCAGATAACAAATTATCTGAGAAAAATAGAGTAATAACTGGTAGTAACGTGACTAAATGCAATCGAACCGATTTTTGTTTTTCTTATTTTTCATGGGTAATCCTAGTATATTTCAAATTATACGTTTTTACTTTTACTTGGGGGAATTCCGTTTATTTTACTTATTGTTAAGAAAGCAGTTCTTGGTGTTGAGCTTTGCTCATTATTTTTTAGTTTTCGAAACCATCAAATGAAGTACGGACCGGTTTCTTTACAATTTTGCGTTCACGTACAACACAACTTTGAAATGTTTACGTAAACCTTTTAAATAGTTTTTTGCGTTCTAATAATTATCGACAAGATAACTTTACAAATCTACTCAAAAAAAATCAGACTACCACTTTAAGGCAGAATAAATTTCATCTTAACTTTAAATTTTGGTATCAGATTAGAAGTGATGTTGTTCTCATGTTTGTCAACCTAAATATTACTTTTAGATTGGTCCAAACCGTTCCCCCTGTGATTTACTGTACGTCAGAAGAGCTTACACGTACACAGCTTCGTGCGGAATATTCACTTAGTCAAATTACCATCTCCTACTATCCCATATCATGACATAGAAATAACCTCCACCTTCTTACAATAACGAAATGGATTTGGTATGACCATAAACTTTTAAAATTTCATTCGCCTTTCTTTTTTCTGAACTACTTAACAAAAGGTGGTCGTATTTTGTAGTTGCCTCTGCTGGCAGCCCCCCCGTCCGGTGAGACATTTTTCTGAGTTTTTACAGCTGGTTATGATGAAACTTGGTAAAGATATATTGAATGAGTAAATCGCAAAAGTTCTGAAAAGAAATTCTGACTGAAAGGAAAGAAATGAAAAGAAATTTGACTTCCTAAGTGACCGTCTAAATTGATCCTGGGGGAGAAAAGAAATTGCAACTGCTGACGTGGGTTATATAACTTTTTTGCAGATTTAAAGGGACATGTACGCCTTTTTTATTGACCAATCATACCATGTCTAAGAAACAAGATTTTTTTTAAGCTAAGCCAATCAGAAATAGTGTTCACAGCGCAACGTCGAAATTTGAGCCTTCAAATCCATGTGTGTCCAGAATTATCCGCTTTTGAAAGTTAAAAAGACGAGTCGTTTTTTCTTGAGACATTGAATATAGAAAATTCATCTATAGAAATAGGAAAAGAAATTCTTAGTTTGAGATATTTTTGAAGGAATTTTGCGATTTTCGTACATTTCTCGTACTTCTGAAGACTATTTACATATATTAAAGACTCAAATCAACACCAAAAATGGCGCATATGTCCCTTTAATATTAAGGAATTCTAAATTTAACATCGATGAATAGCAATTTCTTTACATGGAACAAATCTACCGTGTTGACGTATGTTTCCATGGTTGACAACCTATCATATCAGCCACTGCTTACTACATGCTATCATTGCAATGATTACAAATGAAATACACCAGATGGTACATAATGGTAATAATTCCTATAACCTCGTCATTATTTATTCTTAATTAACATGTTTGATGAGTTAGAGGAGATCGTCAAAACCCTGGAGTTTCAACATTGACCTTTCAACAGAATTTGATTTCCAACTCGACAAGGTTTTAAATAAATAAATCATGGGTCAAGTGACTCTAGAGATCATCAAATCATGTTAATTAAACTATGTTATTCTCAGCTTATTTCTAATGTAAATCCATCATTGATTTTCTTATAGATATATGTGTTCTTAAGGAATTAATTAATATAGTTTTCGTATTAGCTTAGTTGTTATTGATACAGTTTTGAAGGTGACTGGCAATGCGCTTGAAAAATGTGGTATTCGCACAATCAATTCAAGAATAATATCGATTTTTTAACAGTGAAGTTTCGTAAGGCAATATCTTGGACATGATCTGCGCTCGTTTGTTAAACCTTAGTGTTATTAATAAAGAAGGGTTCGATTGGTCGTTTAGCGACTTAGTGTATCTTATCGGATCCGTAACATTCGACATGAAGCAAATCGCTTTTATCAAGAAAACTGCAGAAATCTGGATGGTCGCAAATTATCATTTAATTGTTTCAACTTCAATATGCATATTAAATATGCACCACACCCACCGAAAAAAAAAACAAATTCTTTGGAGTTCTTTGAAAAGTAGGTATGTCATTAACTTTGATTAAGTCAGAAAGCTGACGCAAATAACTTTAAAAAATTTAAAAAACAAGGCATCAATCATGATTTTTCTGTAAAAATAGATCAATCGCAAGGTAAAAATGGCAAGTAAATAATAAGAAATAATTCATTAAAAGTTGAATAAATCATAAGGTTGCGTGATTTGAATTTCACTAGAGTATGATCAACTTAAGTCAGCATGTAGTTTTATTAGGAATTTCCGATGACTTTTTATGTAGAATAGCTATGTCTTTATTGCATAGTTTTTTTTGTATATTCCACATATTTATTTTACCTATGCCAGTAATCTAATTAAAATTAGACCAATTTTCGTTTCTTTTTTTTTTTGTTATTAATTTCTATATTTAATATAGCCTTCTCTGAAGTTGCTATGGTAAAAATAAAAACTAATAAAAAACCAAAACGATAGTTGGGTCTAATTTTAATTAGATTAATATTCCAACACTTTGAAGACAACGTACGTACAAGTGTTTCTAAGCAGTAGTTTCATCAACTGTTTATAGACTAAGCAGCACCTATAAGGAACTAGAAATAGTTGAAATGCGTTCCGACAAATTTTTTACTAACGTATGCAAGATTTGATTTGCGGCCACTCTTTTCAACAGTCATTTATGCTCGGGTTTTTCGTAGCAAAATTTCGCTTAAGTTTACAAGAAAAAGAGGATTCAATTCAAACTTATTGTAGTTTCACGACCCTTAATGCAGGATTCAATTTAGTTTGAAATTTAGCAATTTGGAACACCAAATTTCAGTTTTGGCTCTTCAAGTTAAATTTTGATTCACAATATTTCTAAAAAATTTGGAAGCAATTCAAAATGAAGTAGTAATGTTGTAGACGTTAGTTCCTTTAGATTATAGAAACTTTTGAAAGTTGCCGTATGTTTATAAATTTAACAGAAAAATCTCACAAAATATATATAAATTGATTTGAATCGCAGATCGTCGTGATAAATTGTAATTTTGGGTATCAATATTGAAAATTTTAGATGGCAAAAAGGGCCATTTTGAATCGCAAGCTGCGACACAATATTTAAATAAAAGACTGCAGTAACGTGGAGGTATAGTAGCAACTATTCATTTAGAACTTCATTCAACGACATTTTTATGAGGGTAATTGGACACTGTAATGCCTTTATCAACCAATGCTCTTAATTCATTGAGCAAAATGGCTTATTATTAAAATGTAGCCTTAATAGTCAAGAAAAGTGTGAAATTGTGACAAATTGTGAGTTAACAAAAAAAAAGGTGAGTAACAATTGATGGTGAATGTTTAATCAATGACCAGTACCAAATGGCATGGTAGAAATATGCTGCATGATATTTAATAATGTGAAAACTTCTTTTGACAAGCATCTTGATTTAGTCAAGGGTGTTCGAGTCAGACATCCCTTACCTTTGATACGTCAATGTTTGTGGTGGAAATGAAAAGAAGGGCGTAGGGACTTGGATAGAAACATCGACCTGGTGTATCAATGGCAAAATGTCGTCTGGCAGACTCGAGCTCTTTGATAAATCAAAATGGCGGACAAAACCGTATCAAGTGAAGTGTTGTGAACTTTTACCTAAATTTCATGCAGTGATTGTGTTTTGAACTTATTTGACAACCATCCATTGTTACTCACCAAGTGAATCTATCGGTCTCTTATGGAAAACTTTGTTCGGGTACCTAAGATTCATAATACGTCGTCGTGCCATACCTAACATGTTGGACTTTTTGACCAGTCCCATGCCAACGGTGTCTAAGGACCTCTTGTCGCCGGTGTCTTTCTTTATTAGACCATAGCCTATATGATCCATGCTACGTTTTTCGTTGTACAAGCCAAGCTCATCGGCATCCGTAAGCTCGTCGCTTTTCTTAATTAAGCCCATACCTAAGCTATCCACTGGTCTTTTCTTTATTAAACCATAACCAAGCTCATCAACCGGTCGTTTGATCAAACCAAATCCTAATTCATCAACCGGTCGCTTTATCAAACCATAACCCAATTGGTCCATTTGTCGTTTTTTGATTAAACCATATCCCAAAGAATCAATTGGTCGCTTTTTGATTAAACCATATCCCAAAGAATCAACCGGTCGCTTTATTAAACCATATCCCAAAGAATCAATTGGTCGCTTTTTGATTAAACCATATCCCAAAGAATCAACCGGTCGCTTTATTAAACCATATCCCAAAGAATCAATTGGTCGCTTCTTGATCAGTCCATACCCAAGTTGATCAATGGGTTTTTTCACTAAACCGGATCCTAAAACATCTAAACCACGTTTATTGAAACCATCTTCTATAGAGTCTGATTTTTTGACTAAACCACTTCCAAGACGATCTAGACTTCTTTTGTCTTCCTGATGATTGTAAGCTTCACTAAACCTGGAAATATAAAGAATAAGAACATTAGCCAATAATATCTGGCGAATTTCGCAATTCCTCAAAAACATCCTTTAAAGGGTGAATCGATAATGATTTTAGATACATTTAACGGTTTGCGAGCATGTTTGTGTTGAGATTTGTGCAATTATTAAATTTGCTAGGAAAACCCGATGATCTTTCCTGAGAAGACAAACAATAGGCCTACTAGAACAACCAGGTATGTTTTAGGCTACTCTTTATGTTTAAAGAATAAAAGCTCATCAAGAATTTCAAAATAAACATTACTTCTTATTCAGTCGAAAGAGAACCATAGGTGAAAAAGCACTAATCAGTTAAGAGATCCTTGTCTCTCAAAGGACGATGGAAATTATTTCAACCCTGCTTGAAATGCCCCAATCGAATTAAAATTGAAAAAAAATAACGAAACGAAATTGTAATATTATTTTAATTAGATTGTTGATGCCCGAGAGCCGAAAAATGCTAAGTTGCTAGAATTGCAGACCGCTCTTCTTTCATTTTATTCTGTTGAAAATGAACTTCTATAGTTAAATAAGATATCAGTTAATATATTTTCAGACTTGACATTCCTGACAACGTGAAAATTTCCAGTGTAAAGAGACGGGATTTTCCAGTCTTCAATAGGTTAAGTGCCTCTTAGACAGGATCCAGAGGAGTCAAGTCCTTATCTAAACAAGGTAAATAAAAGACGAACTGTATTTGCTGAACATATTATTTTATCCTCGCTATTCAGACCACTTTTAAGCGAACTCGAGGGTGTTAAAAAGTCTTAAATCAATGAAAGAGAATTAATGGAGACGTATCAAGACGTAGAAATGAAGTTTTTGTAGCTGGAGCACCAATCCGAGTGGTTAACTAAAAACCTACTTTAATGCGTTTTCTATTAAGGTATGGCAATTGAAATCAGTCTCATAATTCAAAAGGACGTCTGTTATCGATTGATGTCCGCCACAGGGCAAAATTCTTAATGGTGTTTTTGTGTGTAAAAGTAAACATATCAAAAACTTCCTCAATCGCCATTGTAAATAATGATAAGTGCTGAAAAGAGTTTTTCCGATGAAGTCCACCTTTTCAAGCCTTCTAAAGTTTTAGTGACCTTTGCGTTAGGCTGTAACAGACGTACTTATTTGGCTTGCCAAGTATTAAATTGACATCGGCAAAACCACGTCAACCGGAAGTAAATATGGCGCGAAAATCTGAACTTACTTATATTACGGATTACTAAACATCGGAACGAAACTATTGAATTTGAGGGAATGTTCGGTGTTATGAAATTCTCCATAATATGGACATCACAGAATAATTTTCAAATAGTTTCGTTTCGATATAGAACATTTAGTAATCCGTAATATACGTAATTTCAGATTTTGCGTTTGAATTTGAGGGACAGGTTCCGTATTATGGAGTTTCACTTCCGGTGGTGCGTTTGGTCGGTTTGGATTTTATAACTATTATCTTATTGGAAAAGAATGTCACCTTGCAATGAAATGTCTTCTTTATATTTGACTCGTCCAATTAAATAAGCGTATTTATAATGACAATATTTAATATTGCCCAGTCGTAATGAGTATTGTTTTTGTAACGTATAAAAACCAACTGGAAGAAAGAGAATCAATCATTCAAGTTGGTTTCTTTAAACAAGTTTTTAACCAAACTCTAGCTGTCTGTTATATTAAATTTTAATAATTAAATATTTCAACTTGTGGCGAAAACATATTAGCTCAACATCACAAGACTAACGCTTAATGTAACTACCGTTTGAGTTCTTAGTTGGTATCAAGCACTATGAAAAACTCAAAGAGCTGTAGGCGGCTACCTATAGTCCCAGCTGTGACCTACAGTTCTTTTCAAAATACAAATCCGTCACAATAGGATAAATACTTTGAAATAGGGACAGTTCCGGATTGTTACATTATATTCCGAAGTAGAAAGTACGATATTACGACCTCATTAAAGAAAATAATTTCCAGCTAGCTGTAGTAATTTTCAGATTTCAAATCCCACGTCTTATACGACTACAATAAGACGAATACGAGCTGTTTGAACAGCGGAAGTGACGACAGTTCAGGTTCTTTATTTGGATTCTTATTTGTTATAGAACAACGTTATTTGCGTTATCAATTAACTTTAGACTATCCTGTTACATTTCAGAAAGTAAATTCCACGCCCGGTACCTCATCATTAATGAAGTAATTACAGGCGATCCACAAGTTGAATTTTTATTTTGAAAATTGATACGAGTTACTTGGGTTAGTTGATCGCCTTTACCTTTTGACTGTTATAAAACTTTGCTAAAAGCTGGAGTAAATATAAAACTTTGCTAAAAGCTTGAGTAAATATAAAACTTTACTCAAAGCTTCAATAAATATAAAACTTTGCTAGCAGCTTAAGTAAATATAAAACTTTGCTAGTAGCTTAAGTAAATATAAACTTTGCTAACAGCTTAAGTAAATATAAAACTTTGCTAGCAGCTTAAGTAAATATAAAACTTTGCTAACAGCTTAAGTAAATATAAAACTTTGCTAGCAGCTTAAGTAAATATAAACTTTGCTAACAGCTTAAGTAAATATAAACTTTGCTAGCAGCTTAAGTAAATATAAAACTTTGCTAGCAGCTTAAGTAAATATAAAACTTTGCTAGCAGCTTAAGTAAATACAAACTTTGCTAGCAGCTTAAGTAAATATTAACTTTGCTAGTAGCTTAAGTAAATATAAACTTTGCTAAAAGCTTGAGTAAAAATAAAAATGCTATTATATCTCAGGTGTATTGATCATATTGATCAATGATAACTTCAGATCAAATATAAATACTTGAAACATTGGAAAACAACAGTATTGACATTGGCCAGGCTTAAAGGGATTGTAAAGAGGATTTCTAATTTTTTTATGTTTATAGGGGACACTGATAGGATCAATGTGACCATTCCAAATTTCAATCAGGCGTCTGTGATTCCTGCAATTCCACTAAAACTAAGTTTTTGATGAATTCACCCACATAAACTTTGCTTGTACCTTTGTTGCGGTGACGTTATAAAACACTTAGTTTTAGTAGAATTGTTAGAATCACAGACATCTGATTGAAAATTGAAATGGTGCAAATTGATGCTATCATTGTCCCCGATACACATACAACATTTCGAAAACCTCTTAAAGATGGGTTCCCTTATTTTCATTTATGAAAATGAAAATGCTAATACTTGTATGAATAGAAAGTAGAGGTGTTCTAGATGACTTGGAAAAATACCAGTTTGTCTCACATGTCCACAATTAATTCATAATTATCTAAATTAGAAGAGAATTATGAGCAGAATTTCAATGAGTGACCGATCAAGAAAGGTCAAAAAGTATTTCTTTGTTTATCCAGACTGTACATACATGGACATTTATGTTTGGTTAAAACTCTTATTTATATGCAATAAGAACATAATGAGATGATTAAGAGTACATGATAGTTTGCTTAATTTGACACTAAAAAATAAGGAAAACCATCTTTAGGTATTTATGCTTCATTACAAACCATTCCCAGACGTTGTCTTCACAGTCAGAAAGACACCAATGATTAAAAATGAAAGTAACTCGTCAACCAAATTACGATAAATCTTAAGTAACACTGACACTTTATTTTTGCCTCGCAATGCCTCTCACTTGATGGTGGCAAGGCTGGCCAATTCGGTGACATCTCTGTCATTGCGAAGATAACGTGCAAGTGTCGGGGTTGCTTTAGGACACTATTTGTCACAATCATCGTCCTAAAGAATTTATTATTATTCTAATTTAATTCAAGTAAATTAAAGGTCGATCTTAATTTGTTTAAAGACTGTAAAATGATAATAATGATTGAAAATGAAATCTATAGTAACTCGTCAACTCGCGATAAGTCTTAGGATACTTATTGGTCACAGTCGGCGTCTTAAAGAACTGTATTATAGAAACTCTTCGCAGTGCAATTGACTTAAAAGTCGATCTTAATTTGCTTACAGACTGAAGAAATGTTTTTCTGATGTTGACGTTTCCCACGACTCACAGAAGAGCAGACTAGAATGGTAAATAAAGTAAACAAAGTTGGGCAACTGTGACGAATGTGGCTTCAAGATGGTTGCCAATCTCAAATAAAAGGACAAGTTAATGAAATCGGCTGATGGCTGCTAATGACTTTCTGGTCACGCATGGAGGTTTTCATTATCCTCAACCTTCAGCGATTATTGCTTCTGTTATTGACTCAACAATCACATTGGAGTCGGACTTCGTTACCGCAAACTACTCCCTGGGGAGGACTTCGATTACTCTCTAGAATTCCAGATTCACATTCATTTCAATTATTTACCTTCAAATATATTTTCAAGTCTACTGTAGATGAAAAGAGTTTTTTTCCGCGACATTTAATTCATTTAGTTCGCTCGAATCGTTCGTCAAAATGTTGAATTAAACGTTTTCCAATTTTAACGACCCGAGCGAAGAAAATTGAAAAATAAAAACTCTCCTAAATGACCCTCGGGGTCCGTGTTGTAACTTCTATAAATTCGTTATGTCTCCAGTAGCAAAAAAATGAGAGTTCATTTTTGTCATGCGCCAGCAGCTGAAACGTTGTATTTATCGAAAAAATATTGACTAAAGGATCCTCGGGAGTCTCTGTTGTAACTTCCATCAACTTCATTTTGACTTCATTATGACTTCATTTTTGGAGTTCTGTGACTTCAGTTGCTCATAAAAGAAACTAATTTTTGTCGAAGTGTCTGGGACAGAATCAACGCATGTGTCGAAACATTATAATGAACTGAAACCTGGGGTCGATTTACTGAAATATGATGTCGATAAACTAAACAATAAAGATATAGAAATATGAAGTCAGTTAACAGAAATATAAAGTTACTTAACAGAAATATGAAGTTACTTAACAGAAATATGAAGTTACTTAACAGAAATATAAAGTTACTTAACAGAAATATAAAGTTACTTAACAGAAATATGAAGTTACTTAACAGAAATATGAAGTTACTTAACAGAAATACGAAATCCTTTAACACAAATATGAAGTTAGTTAACAGAAATATAAAGTTACTTAACAGAAATATAAAGTTACTTAACAGAAATATAAAGTTACTTAACAGAAATATGTAGTAACTTAACAGAAATATGTAGTAACTTAAAAGAAATATAAAGTTACATAACAGAAATACGAAATCCTTTAACACAAATATGAAGTTAGTTCACAGAAATATGAAGGTCCATATGAAATGTTCATTTGCTGCTACTAATATACTGCCAAAATTTTATTTTGGATTTCGAGTTTCGTTTTGCAGTTCAGATCGTTTGAAGTCTGGGGCTTTTATCTATACGAAGTCCAGGAACAGAAAAACAAAGTTCAATAACTTAAAAAAAAAACTTACGGAATTGCATCTCATAATCTCAAAAATACATCATATTCATCTGAATAATCTAATTCTTCTTTCAGTCTGAATTTTTTTATTCTGTTTCGGACAAAACGGAAGGCATTATTTTGCAGTGTGATTAACATATGGACTTGACTCGTCATGTTTCCCTTCAAGCTGTTAATTTGATTTTTCTTTTCAAGTTTTTAGAGACTAATTACTGAGAATAGTGGAAACCATTCAACAAGAAAGTGAGAAGGACAGAGAAAAGATGAACTAATTAATCAAGCTGAAACAACTTTGACGAAAATCGAGAATGTAATCAACCTTCAAACGTCTTATTTAGAAATATTTTGGACATAAAATATGTCAAATATGCGGTGAACGGAATTCTTAATAAAGCGATTTTTACCACTAAACTATTAAAGCAGAGAATTTATTGAGAAGAGTGTTATAAATGACAAGCTATTCCCTCGGTACTCGATCACTGTTAGAAATACGACATCCCAAGTCAACTTAAAGAGACTTAGTATGCAAATCTATAAATTTTCCACGAAATCTGATCTTGATTCAGTTCGTTAATAAAATCGGTAAGTATTGTCCGGAAATGTCTTTAATGTGATACATCAACTAAAACTGATATAAATGGACGATATCGCTAGTTAGATAGATACATAATAGTTGACGACAAGTACCAGTGTCCCCTTTTAAGATCGTGGTATTGAATGTGGAATCGTTGAGTTCAAGGGTCTCCTTTAGTTGATAGTAATCGCCCCTTCGAAGCACGAAGCATGGTGGGGGGGGGGGGGTGCTTTTTGATATGCTGGAAGCTAGATGAGACTTTAAAGTTGAATTTTCTGCAATCATATTACCGAAATATTTTTATTTCGCGCGAAATCATAAAGTTTTTACAAAATTTGTTATAGTTACTAGGTCTCCGGCAAATTGACAAACTTGAAAACTTGTTATGCAACGTCTTGGGTGAAAAATTATAAAACTATTCTTTTGGCGAAAAACATCATATTTTTCGCACCTTCTTGTTATGTTCTTAATAGAATCAAATGTTTCATCATATTGAAATTATTCTTGACTGCATGTCGTCCTTGAAACCAGGATTAATTTGTAGGCAATGTTCTCGAAAGCAGCATAAATTATAAACATGTCGTCAAATCTGACAGAATATGTTATATGAGAATACCCATATGGATTGTTAGTTTCCCTAGTTTACCATCGCCTGGTACCTTTCCCTGGCGATTACCAAAATTCATGAAGCAACTAGTTCGACGTAAGGTTTTCAAAAACAACAAATTATAATGGGCATTGTACAGACACGGAACCAACTTTCGATAACTCTGACATTTTGCTTCAAACGGAGAGAAACGCAATATTAATTAGATCGCAGAATGATTGAATGCTTTATGTCGATTTCGGATTTCCTGACATTTTTTTGCGTAAAGTAATTTTTATAAACCTTCAGAAAGATGTCGCTATAGACAAAAAACCAAAGTTGAAGTGTAAAATTTTGGTGATGCGTGTGCACTAGTTGAGGTGCAAGATTTATTCAATTCAGGCCATCTGAAATCCTTTGGTTTCTGGGGGAAGGAGAGGGAGGGGGGGGGGGGGGGTGCCCTGACAGACACCGGGACTCAAGGGGCTTTGGCCACATCCTCAAACAAATTCTAGATACGTCCCTGCCTGCAACATACTCCGAAACTGTGAATTCGCGATTGACATACATACATCAAACTTAAGAGGATATGACCAGCAATGAGACTTTTCCTGCCAAGTATTAAGCATAAGCATTTTGTCTGTGAACTACCATGATCGAACATGGCTGAGAATTGGTAACATGGTTGGTTCAATACAGCATGTCAACACGGTGTGATGCTTTGATTCAGTGGAAGCAAATAATCTGCAGCTAATATTGATAGACAGATGAAAACAGACTATTTACAAATAAATCATATACCATTGGTTTTACGTTAAGTAAATGGCAATGGTTATTTAGAAGGTCGAATTGTCGTTAGACACAGATCTAATCGTCTAATCAAATAACACTCTATCGATATCTTATTGAAGACGATATTGATATCCTTTAGAAGGGTCGTAGAAGAATATCTCTTGAAATAGAGGACATGTAACAATATAGCAATATAACCAATTAACTTTCTATTGATTGCAATGATGTTAATTTGTTCAGGGCTAATGATGACCGTCAATAGGTCAACGTAGACACATAAATCATATAACTATCACATGAACGGTCAATATGACTAGGATTTACAATGGACTGTCCATAAAGATTTTATATAATAACTTCAGACAACGGCTGGCCACAATATTGGCTGACATGAGAGTAAGATGGCATAGAAAATACAAGTGGTCTGTGGTCTTGCCAAACTTTATGCATTATCAAAATTTGATTTGATGAAGCAATTCCTTCCAGGATCGCCCGTGTTGATTGGCAATTGACATTTATACTCATCATATCCCAGCGTCGTACACTCGACAAATTAATCGCTTACAGTGAGATCGCTTACAGCTAGTGGCCGAAAAACAGATCTACTTTTACTGAAAAAAATAGATAAAAGCAACTAAATGCCAACTGTCAAATAAAACTAATGTCGACTAACGGTAGTTGAAAATGCAGTTATTTTCAGATTCAGAATGATCAGGTTTAAGCCTCCTTCCAAATTTACTAGACATTTCTATCAAAGGTTCAAAGTCCAAAGTTGGTGTACACATGTGCCTGCATATTGTTTATCCTATTTCCGTGTGTATCAAACTTCTATTTAAAAAAACACTAAATTTTCGGTCAAAGAAAGTTGAAAAAGCGGTAATGGTTGAGGGTTCTTATATTAATTCTTCGTTTTCCTTACAATCTTCAGTGAGAACAAAATTCCATCATACATCGTAACTCTAACAGACTGAATTAAAATACATTAGATTATAGGTTTAGTTTATTGTGTTGTTTTATCGAAGCCTAAGACGTCTATTTGAAAATGTTATTTGTCATCGTGCTTGTCTTCGCAATATAATTGAATCTAAATGAATTATGTTTAAGCTTGGATTTCTGATCATTTTCTTGATCGGATTAGATAATTGGTATGAACACTTCAAGGGCATTAATCTTAAAGATCGACAGTCCGGGAAGTACAATTTGTTAACGCTTTAGAAATACATTGTGTTACTTCAAATATATAACATGATAATATCAATGAAAATATCCTCTGAGCAAAAATACTGCGGCGTACTATTTGTGAAACATTGTGGACAAAAAGAAGTTTCATTATCTTATTTAAAACTGCGAAAGTCGTGATTGAAAAAAAAGCAACGAATTAAATTGTTCACTAATTGTGATATTTTAGGACTGACTTTAAGCAAATCAAAAATGAAGCTTGTAGCTTTTGATCACCGTTGTTGTCGCATTTTGACAAATGTAAATATACACATCTTTGGCTACACGCCTCTTCTCTTTCGATTTCCAATTGTTAGGTGATCTAACGAACCTAAAAAATGCCCATTGGGGCCCGCCTTATCAATTCATCTGAAAGATATGTGAAATGGAAAGCTGAGTTGAGGTCCTCGCCATAAAAACACACCTTTCAGATAATTTGAATATAGTTGATAATGATCATAATTCTACAGAATCAATAATTTAATTAGCTCATCTTTTGATAAATCGATGGAAAAGATAACTTATCGATGACCCTTTTATAATATCTTAGAATAGAAGTGTCGGCAAATATTTCACACAATTTTGTTTCTGAAACACACACCTTATTCGGGTGGGAACATAAAAAAATCCCTTCTTTGAAATAACTTGCCACAATTTTTATCAAGAGACGATGAACACGATAGTCCTTTACTGTGGAACTTTTAACATAGATTTCTACAGTGATACGATCTAAGTACATTTACCTCGGATGAACTTTTTGGCGCTTTAAACCAACACGGCATTAGACAGACTGCATTAGGAGCAAACGAAGATCTGTTATTATGTCAACCTT